TTTCTTAACCGATTGCAATTCATTCAGTATGATTTGTCTGACAGAAACTTGGTGCTCTGATGAATCAATTCAAAAAAATTCTAACTTTCAAATTCCATATTATAAATTATTATCTTCTGAAAGGAAAGCAGACAAAAGGGGGGGAGGGATTGCAACATATATTCGGAATGACCAAGCAATAAAAGCAAGAAAAGACCTTTCAATTTCTGATTCCAGTTGTGAGGTACTTACAATAGAAATCACTTACTCCAAAACTAAAAATATCTTAGTTTCTACCTGCTATAGACCACCTGAAGGAGATATAAAAAAATTTTCAAGCTACTTGGAAGATATCTTTCTTAAAATTAATAGAGAACAAAAAAAACTATTCTGCATAGGTGATTTAAATATAGATTGTTTCAAATACAAAAAGAATGCGACCACCAAACTTTTTTTTGACAACATGTTTCAACATTGTATCTTTCCGATTATCAACAAACCTACGCGAATAACCCCGAATTCAATTTCCGCAATAGATAACATCTTGACAAATGCATTTCAACATTCCTCTTTAAAAACAGGTATAGTTAAAACCGATATTTCGGATCACTTCCCAATTTACTTTTCTATAAATCAAGAAACAAGAATAAACAACAACAATTCTAAAACCAAAATTTATATAAGAAAAACTAATAAAATTTCTATTCAAAAATTTAAAGACACACTATCAATAGTGAATTGGGATGAAGTATATAAAAAATGCAACCTTGAGGACACAAACTCCGCATATAATACATTTATCGATATTTTTTTAAATCATTATAATAGTTATTTCCCGATCGAAGAAAAAATAGTTAAAGAAAAATATTTGAACTGTCCATGGATTACTAGTGGAATTAAAAAATCCTCTAAAACAAAACAAAAACTCTACATAAAATATTTAAAAAACAGAAATGAAGTCAACTTATCTATCTACAAAAATCTCTTTGAAAAAATAAGGAAAAACTCTAAAAAAATATACTACTCAAAACTACTTCAAAATACCAATGGCGATATTAAAAAATCATGGAACATCATGAAAGAAATAATCGGGAAAAAAAATACCAAAACAAATACCTTACCTGATAGAATTGTTGTGGATGAAAAAGAATACAACGATAAAAGTTCTATAGCCGAACATTTCAACAGTTTCTTTGCAAACATCGGCCCTAACATGGCGTCCAAAATTCAATGCCCAAATACCTATTTTGAAACCTATCTTACAAATCAACAAAGCGAACTAAAATTCAATGGACTAGACTATGATGAACTCGAAGCTGCAAAAAATTCTCTAAAAATTAACAAAGCACCAGGGATTGATGAGATTTCTAGCAACGTAGTAATAAGTGTCTTTCCGGTGATACGCAAACCCATATTCGAAATTTTTAAATCTTCAATTACAACAAGAACTGTTCCAGACAAGTTAAAAATTGCAAAAGTTGTACCAATATTTAAATCCGGAGAGCAATGCTCACTTAATAACTACAGACCCATCTCAATCCTTTCTGTCTTTTCTAAACTTCTAAAACGAATAGTTTACAATAAACTATATAAATACCTAACTATTAACAATATTTTGAATAAAAAACAATTCGGATTTCAAAAACAACATTCAACCGAACATGCGATTATAGATCTTGTAAATAAAATAAATGACTCTTTTGATAATAACAAATTTGTTCTAGGAATCTTTATTGATCTATCGAAAGCATTCGATACTGTTGATCATGCTATACTACTTAAAAAAATGGAAAAATATGGCATTAAAAATGTTGCTTTACATTGCTTTATATTTGAGAGCTTTCTTATAAACAGACAGCAATGTGTTATTATGGATAAAAATACCCATTCAAAATTACTTAAAATAAAATGCGGAGTTCCTTAAGGTTCCATTCTAGCTCCCCTACTCTTCTTGCTATACATCAATGATCTTCCAAAAGTCTCAAAAAAACTTGATGCCATAATGTTTGCAGATGATACAAACTTATTTTATTCATCTACTTCTATCGCAGAACTCTTCGAAACTGCAGGTATTGAACTTGAAAAACTTAATACTTGGTTTAAATCTAACAAATTATCATTGAGTACAGAAAAAACCAACTACATTCTATTTCACACCAATCAAAAGAAAAAATCTATACCAATTCCATTACCGTCTCTAAAAATAGAAAATAAATTTATCGAAAGAACCAAAGCAACAAAATTTTTAGGAATACTTATCGATGAGAATATTTCATGGAAAGCTCACATAAACTTATTAAATACCAAAATAAGAAACAACATTTGCATGCTTTACAAAGCTAGACCGATGCTACCCCAAAAAAATTTAAAGCTACTTTATTTCTCCTTCATTCAAACCTATTATACGTATGGTAATATAGCATGGGCAAGTACCCATAGATCCAACCTAGTGGCACTTTATCGACATCAAAAACATGCTGCAAGAATAGTATTTAATAAAGATAAATTTACTCATGCCGAACCTTTGCTAAAGCTTCTAAATGCACTAAATGTCTACAAAATTAACATTTACCAAAATTTGATATTCATGCTCAAATATAAACTCGGACTTGTCCCATTACATTTTTCAGAAGAATTTTTTAAATGCAATAGAAATAAATATGAAACTCGAGGAATAGGAAATTTTAAAGTACCATATAAAAAAACAAAACTATCACGTTTCTCCATCTCGTATCGCGGCCCTTACCTCTACAACAAACTAATAGCTAAAAATACTATAATTACAAAACTACTTAACCGTAATTCTCTGAAAACACTTTTAAAAAAACTTGTTCTAAACTTAAACAATTTTACAAACGTATATTAAAACAAATAACTAAAAACCCCTAAAAAATCCACTTTAAAGCAAAGTAAATGTTAGATTTTATTTATATTTCGTACATGTCAATATACTAAGTATAACAAACCATGTAACTATATATTTATGTGTATCAAATACAGCTCTTTTCCGTTTTTTGTTTTTGATTATCTAGTAGCTTTTTATGTGTGACTCTTATGCCACCATGAGACTTTGACAAACTGAAATTTCTTAATAAATTAAGTATACAAAATATCGCAACTAAAAGCGGTTTCTTGATGACAAGACCAAAATGGTCTTCTGCAAGTTTCCCGCGTCTTTTAACAGTGTTACTTTTTTATATATATTATTATTTGTATTAAAAAAAGTTTTCTTATTATATGTACGGTATTTTTTTATACAATGTAAACGAACTAGTTTATATTTATGATAACGTATTTGTAAAGCTTTGATAAAAGACGAAAAAAAAAAAAAAAAAAAAAAAAAAAAAAAAAAATTGTAAATGCCGTAATCGGGTATAGAATTTTTCAAAACTGTTCAAACAGCACCTTGACGGATTGGATTTAACGTTTCCTCATTTAACGAGCTAGTTATTCAAGGGACTGTCTAAAAAGCTGAATTCTAAAACGGCGAAAAGCCGAAATGCCGAAAAAAATGGCGTATTACCTGCGGTAATACTGACCTGCGGTAACCGTAAAAAAAGACAACGAAAAGTTAAGTATCCCCCGGATTATTTATTGCGCATTTGCAAATGCGGGACAGAAGAAAAAGCCAAACTTGGCGTTTGCTTCTGTCCTTTTAAACTTTCGCGAATAATAACGGAAAAAGAGACGAAATAAAAACTTAGGTTTATAAAATTATTTTAAAATTTGTTTGCTAATTTTATATTAAGTAGTAGTATCGAGAGGGTTTGCGTAAAAATTGTTAACTAATTAAGTTTAGAAAACTTTAATTGGAATTATTGATAACGACCTCGGTGAACCATCAAGCAAGCAAATTTTCAGATAGATAGTTACAAGAAAGCTGTGTTAAAAAAAAAACTTTTGTTGCTTTGTAAGAGAACCAACCGGTACACTACAACAATTTTCAGCAAACCTTGTCTACAAGCAGAGAGCATATTTTGTGATAGAGAGCATCTCTTGTAATGCCAAATCTTGTTACACAATAATAATCTATGTGGGCGAAAAACTCATGTGAAAATGAATCATTGCACACTAAGCAATATTGACGCTAAATATCTTCAAAGGTCCTCATCAATAACTAGCATCTTTTAAAAATATTTTCAAAGCTATTGAGGGAAATGTTAAACTCACTAAAACATTTTGAAACATTGCAAATGACAGAACAAAATGTAACTTTTAGCTTTTTTGGTCTCAGTTCAAGACTTTTGAAAAAGTTTTTATATAACCTTGTTTTGAATCAAATAAAATTGAACAGAAAAAAGTAACACTTAAGTTTCAAAGTACGCGCGGGTTAATTGATGAATCATCTATGCAGTACTTACTCAAAAATATTTAATCAAAGGATTAGTCACTTTGAGTACGGTCAAAGACTTTAGAACTATAAATTTGACAGCAAACATTTAGAGAAAATTAAGGTGGCTTTTCCTTAGAATTCATATATGTGTTAGAATCTAATGAAAAAAAATGTTTTTTTATTGGTAAGGTATCAAAGAAAAAATTTTGAGTGCAATAAAAAAAAATGTATGTGGAATGCTGTTTTTTTCTAATATGAGCAGTGGCGGTTAAAGTCAACAGAGAGACCTAAACAGTAAACAGAACTGCGCTACTTCAAAATTTAAGCAGGGTGACCCTTCCTTCTAAGTTGCCAGTGTAGTGTAGTAGTTTCTTTAATTTTTCTTTAGTAGTTAAGTTTCTCCAAAAAGCCGTAAAGTTTTTATCACAGAACACAGCGGAGGAGCATTTATTTTAAAAGTTTTCTTCCCTTTCAATGACGGTTATTGGGTTAGAGCCGGCATTAAGGTGGTAGTATATCATTTAAAAAAATTTTGCATTTTAACTTTTTTTTCAATTTTTAATAGTGAATAACATATATTATACGATTAAAATATAAGTAAAAATTTAAAAAGTTAAAAAAAATTAATTTGCGCATAATTATTGACAGACAAATGCCTAAAAATGAATAACCGGCGACATGGTTTTTTCAGCAACCGTAAATAAATTTGAAATGAAATTTTGGCTTGTGATCCTTTACTAATACAATAACAACATACACTAAAAGTTTTGAGTTTTGACCAAAAAAAAGTCAAAATATATGCATTTTAGTCATATTTGGAAGTTTTGGTGTTATTTGAGGACACAAAATCACTCACAAAAGTAGAACACAATTAACTGTAAACATAATTCTAGTAGAGGTTGCAAATACATGTGTTACAAACAAGTGTGCCAAATTTCAGATCAACTCAGAAGCCAATTCACTTGCTTTCGGGCATGATACGTCAAAATCGGGGCAATTAAAACAATATATATATATATTTGCAAAAACATCCAAGCTGGAAAACTTGCAATATTGTATTCCTTATCCAAGATCTAAAGACAAATAATTGAGAATGATAAAAACTCTGTATACAGGAATGCAAATATTAGTAATAACATTAAACTCACTTGAATCAGTTTAAACAAAAAATCCATTGTTTTCAAAGGGCTTTCAAATGACCATCTGTGATTGTTGTACACAACAACAGCAATGTTTGGTGGAACAGCATAAACTAAAGGTTGAAGTGTCAGCTTCAGGTCATTATATAAGATCCTGATGTTATTAATTGATTGCTCAGCATTTTCAACTGACTGAAAAAATAAAGAAATAATAATAATTAAGCAATACAAGTAACAACTTAGTTATTATAATAATTTTTATATTTAATAAATTTTAGTGTCTTTGAATAATAACTATTGAATAAAAACTTTTGTATTTTAATTATATTTAATTTACATTGGCTAGAAAAAGAAATGATTCACCACATTCTTTAACACTAGGAGTCCAGGATTTTCTCTTTGTTTCTTTGCATAAATGGATGGAACATTTGCAGTATGTCAATCGCACAATAGCCAAAAGAGCAGCTGTCTCATCTTCTACCCCTATATTATATATATTTACATATATATACATATATATCTAAATATATATCTATATATACACATACATTTATATACATATGTGTGTATATATATCTATATCTCTCACTCTCTCTCTCTCTTTCTCTCTCTCTCTCTCTCTCTCTCTCTCTCTCTCTCTATATATATATATATATATATATATATATATATATATATATATATATATATATATATATATATATATATATATATATATATATATATATATAGAGAGAGAGAGAGAGAGAGAGAGAGAGATAGAGAGAGAGAGAGAGAGATGATCCAGGTCATATTTAAAAAATCCAGAAAATTATTTGCTTAAAATATCCAGAAAAAATCTGAAATTTTTTTCCCCTTATTTTCCTCTTAATTTTCTTTTAGCTGAGTTGTATCTCAATTTTTATTGAGAATTTCTTTAATTTTTGTATGAGTGATGACTAAAAAACCTTAAAAATCAAATATATTACACAAATATATACTTAAACTTGTATGTATAGAAAACCTTTTGGATATCCGGAAAAACTAATCTTGAAAAATATCCGGAATTCCGGGAATATCTGGAAAATAATAATCCCTGATATATACATATATAATACACATGAATGTATAAATATATTTTTTCCATTGTCAGTTAGGTGCATGAACATAGGTAATTTTCCACCATCTGTCCGTCTGTCAGATTCCGCAAACTGTCCGTCTGTCAGATTGCCGACTAAGCTGTCATTGATATATGTATGCTTATCATATTATGCTACTGTGATATATGTATGCTAATCATATTATGCTAATCATACTATATATGCTAATTAATAAACTTTTATTAAAAATAAAACACTAACCATCTTGCATGGAATATTTCTTGGCAACTAAGCCTATCAATTTTTTTGCATGTAGTGGAATTTTTTGAAACATAAAGTTGCTACAATGCTCATAATTCTTTTGCATACTCAATTGAGTAAAATCGATATTTACCTATAAAAGGTAAGATATTATTTTGTATTTCTGTGGCAAACATTTAGTATGTGAAACATGGACATATGAAATAACACATAACAAATATTTAAAATACTTACCAATGCATCTGCTTTTAGATCCAAAAGAAGTTTAAAATTTGGAATGTCTTTGGTGCCAGATTGAAAACATTTCAACCTAAATTTTGAAGTTGATTTCCATTTATGGCACGCTTCAGTCCATGGTTGACTATTAAGTTTAATTCCAAATAAGGTCATCTTGAATTGCTTCTTCTATATAATTTTTTTAATGTTTAAAAATAAAACTAATTAAATACTAAAACTTTCTCCATTATATGATAAAAAATTGTGCAAAGATTTATACATTTTATCAAAATACAATTTATCAAAGAAAATTTTAATAATTAACATAATGATATATAAAATTTTCTAAAAATATAAAACACAATATACTATTTATAATAACTAAACTATCTTATAAAGCATACCATCGCTACTATCATGTTCTTCATCCACAGAAAAATTTAAAAAGAATTTATAAATCAAAAATAACTTTATAAAATTTTCATATGCATTTGCTTTACTACAATGTTATAATTTTATATTTGTAACTTTAGTAATAAATAATAAGTAAAGACAATAATAAATAAAACTAATTTTGGAAATCTAATAATTTTTTACTTACTGCAATCCTTTCTTTTAAATAATATAGTTGACTACTATTCTAGCCAACTTGCTGCGTAAACTAAAGGTTAGATTTAAAGCACTTAACACAATAATCCCATCTGTGCAAGAATTCAGGATCGAGGCTAAACCATTCTATTAAATTTAAAAATAATATTTAAGTGTTACTAAACAAAATATAATTTATAATTAAAATCATCATACTTATGATACAAATGATATGTTATCAATAATGCAAATTAAGTATTATAATATTTACTTTAACAGAATTTATAAAAATAGTTAAACATTATAAAGAAAAATATTTCAAACCTCAAAAAGAGTATTGTTTTTATGATGAAGTACAGTTTTTGATGCAAAACTATTTTACCAGCTGTATCTTGAAATGGCTTAGCTTGTTGTATACACTGTTTCTTCAATGGGCTTGTTACTTTGTTATTGTCCAAACTGAAGTCTATTTCACTTTGGCTCAAAGTAGCTGATTCTATAATCAAATTCACATAGGTTGCATTATTCACATAGGTTGCAAACAGTATTACTAGTATTGTGATAGTGAGAAACATTATTACATAAAAAAATCAAGTGTTTAAGTATTTTTAAAAATGTTATAGCCTCTTTTAAATCTTTTATTATTAATATGTAAGACAAATACCAAAGTTAGCATATCCGTTTTCTTTCTTACAGTTTTGGGGTTCAAATAACACGCTTGACATACTGAGTGCGGCTAAATATTATTCATAAACTATTAGGTATATTTTTGATAAAAATATTATGTATATAATATTAAAAACAAAAAAACGAGTAACATGTAATTTGGTGATTTGCTATTCGTAACTTTTACGACTTTTACTGTTGGGTGAATTTTTAAATACATGACAAAAAAGTATAAAAAATAACTGTACTGGATAATGTGTTTAGTATTGCATTGCTCTTAGAGAAATGAGCTAACTCAATATCTTCAACAAGATTCAAATTGTCTTCCATTAAAGTATACAAAATTGTGTTATATGTAATATTTCCATAATTATTTAGAAATGTTATAATATAAAAATACTTGTTCAAAATACCTTTATGTAAAACTGGTGCATGATCACAATAGGCACACAAATCAAAACCTTTCTCTTTTGTGTATTCATCACAATCACATCCTGCTTTGAGACATTGCATTCTACTTCTCCCTTTTTTATCCTTCATTTTTAATAACACTATAAAAATGAGGAAAAATAAAGTAACAGAAAAACAACTTTACTTAATCGTTTTATAATCAAGTTTTTTATTTTATTATATAAAATTATTTAGAAAAAACAACACTAAATGAATAAGGAAACCGATAAATGAAGTAATGTAAATATATCATTTTAGAAGTTATAGCAAAAATAATACTTATTTATAATATAATAATTTTGTGGGTTATATATTATAATATAAAATAATATAATTTATTGTTTTTAAATAAATAATTAACATCAGTTCACTAAAAAAAAAACAAATTACATCTACATTTGTTTAAAACTTAGAGAAACAAAAAAAAGAGCAGGATTGAAAAGTTCGTTTTTTCAAAAGGAAAGTAACCTTTGCAAACTAAAATAGAAATGAAAAAAACTAAAAATGTTCAGATGAATTCAGATGGCAATAATATCTTACATACTACTTATAAAACTTATTTAGTTTAAGGTAAAGACATTGTTTAAAGAATTTCAAATTTTTGGTTATAACAATTAAAACTTGTTTCCTTGAAGGTACCTATAGTTCCTTTCGTGACACAAATTTAGAATGAGTATAACTAAAAATTTAGAATGCTACTAACAATGTCTTTACTCCAAATTAAATAGATATAATATCTTTTTAATTTGAAGTAAAGACATGGTGAGTAAAATTTATAGGTAGTATGTCATTACTCCTTTGAAAAACAAGACTTTTCAATTTTGCCCTAAAGAATATAAAATACTTACACAAATTTTTTTTATTAAAAAGAAAAAAATTAAATAAATTTAAATGCTACTAAGTTAAATGCTGCCATGATCAATAATTATATTTTGTGCATTAATGACAAGTATTTACTTTTATTTAAATTTCGTAGTTTCAACGGCCAAGGTGAGATAATGTTATCAAATTGGAGAGCAATTTAAAACAATTAATTCTGTTTCATTGTCAACCTCAAAAGATTGTAAGTGATAGCATTCAGTTATAATAAACAACTTTTGAAAAATAAAATAAATTAGTATCAGATACGAAAATTTGTTTGATTAGACAAAATGCAGGATATAATTCTTCAACTGCATATATAACAACATCACCAATTTTAAAGCTAACAAAGTTAACAGAAACACACTTTGTCTGGAAAATTTCTCTGTACAACCCATAATTACCAATCAACTCTGATATAGTTTTTCCATCAATCACATGGCATAGTAAAATAGGTTCAGTTTTAGTAACACAAAATTCATTATTTTTTAAGCCATGTTTTGCCATGAATCGAGTTGATTGATCCATTTGGTGTCTAATAGCTACTGTTTTACAAACATTTTAAAAATTTCCTACAGACGAAGCAGTTCTCTTAAAACCTCTTAATTTACCTTTGCAACGCATTACCCACATATGACTTAGCATGCCAAGCATTTTAATAATACGTGGATAATGAATAAGGTTTATGAAACTTTAAAGTTAAGCCACGCTTGAATGCAAAACAGTATTCTTGTAAAAATTCAGTAATGAGAGAACCAAAATGTAATAAATCAGGTTTGCTAAAATACAAACCAAATGAGTAAAGGACAATCTGTTTTAACAATAAAAAATCAACACAAACATTGTCTTCAAAAGGAACTAAATCTCCAACTAATAAAGGAAAGCTTAAAACCAAATTTAGCATTTCAATTGCACCAATATTAATTGAACCATTTTTTATTTGATACTCAGTGGGACATGAAGGAATTGACAAGTGATCATATGAAAAATTTCTCATTCTGCTATTTATGTCACCTAGATTAAAAAACTTTTTCTTAAATACTAGATAGTTAAACATTTTTTGAAAAACATGTTTACAAATGCCTTCTAACAAATCGTGCATAATATAACAATAAATATTATCATTAACATGAAATGATGGAATTTTATTAAAGCAACACTTTTCCTTTATACCATTTAGGAAACACTTACGTAAAGAAACATCATAGTCATAACATTCTCTAGTTCTAAGTAATTCAACAGATTTAACAAAAATACTGTCAAAGTCTTTACGTTTCATTTTGCATATTCTGCATGGGTGTTTTGCAGTAAAACTTTCTACATAACCTAATATTCCATTTAAACCAAGATTGTCACCAATAATTTGAGCAAGAACAACATATATTTTAAATTCATTGCCATCTATTTTCAAAGTAAAACCTTTTGTTTCTAATTCTGTCATTTTTTCTATGTATATAGAAAATGCATTTTTATTTGAATACTTAATGCGATCAGAAGAATATATAACTGCACTTAACAAAATATTCTCAAGTTTTGAATTATGTAGTGGTTTTAAACATTTTAGAACTGTACACAAATCTCCAATTTTGTAAACAGTGCTATGTGAACCTAATGGATTAGCAGTTTCTAAATCATCAAAAAAACAAAAAACTGGAAGTACAAAAGTATTTTGGGAATGAGCATATTGACTGCGTAATTGGTGATTTTGCCACAACTCTCCATCTTTAAAATCTGAAACTAAACCATTAGTAGATGGTTTTGTATTACTTCTTATTTCATCAAGTACACCAGGAAGACAAAGAAAAACTTCAAGACACTGCTTTAATAAAACATATTGCCCTGTTGCTATACAAGTTGAGCAAACTACTCCTTTAGCTGTTTTTTGAGTGTTTATAAAATGACCTATTGGGTATGATTTTGGTTATATATAATACCCTTTCTTTTTATAATAATTTGTTTGTTTGTGCAAACTTTCTAAGCCTTGAAAAGGTTTTTAAAGGCGTAAGATATTTTCAAAGAAATTATTATATTCATCTTTTTTGGAGACCATGCTTGTCAAATATTCCTTGGGTCTCATTACTAATTCCTGTTACAATTGATGACACAAAGTCTGAACATGCATCAACAATTTTCAATGTAGTGGTTAAGGGTATATTAGAAAAACTTCTTTGTTTAGAAATGAAATAAGCGGAATCTTCTAATATACCATCGGTTTCATCAAATTTTAACATTTGGGCAAACAGGTTCGGTATTGTGAACAGCTAGAGACAAGTTATTTGAATGGAAACATCGTTGCATAGTATCTGCTTCTTCTAAAGTAGGTCCTAAAATAACTTCTTGATGAGATTTTTCAATATGTTTTGAAAGACTTTGGAAAAAATTATATTCCATCGGACAACCACACTGACTGTAAACTAATCTTTCGCCATAACTATGTTTGTTGTGAAATACTTTTAGATGACATTTATAAGAGTTGCTGCAGCTTGCAGTATATTCACAATAAGCACAGTTAATCATGATTATAGTGAAATTAATAAAAATTCTTTTTAGTTGAAACTTGTAATAAAATATTACATCCGCCTAAAATATCACATCCCCCATAGAAAAAACGAAAACGAGATTGCGCTTTCAAGTCATTGCACTTAGAAGTGTATCAAATACGTCCGAAACATTCAATTATAAAAAATATAATTAAAACGCAACGAGATTCATAAAAACGTTTTTCTACTAATATACTATAAATGAAGTTAGCATAAAATGGTAATATATTTTAAATTCTTATTTATAAAATTTTAATCGTAATGTATTGTGTGACAATAGTATAAAAAAAGATTACACATGAGGGATATAATACTTTAGGTAATAAAAATAACAATCGTTTGCAATATTTTAGAAGCCTGCATAGGGGGGATGTGATATTTTAAGTAAGAATTCCAGTTTCTTTTTGTCACATATACAGAAATAACAAGTGGTGGATGTTATATTCTATATACCAAATACTAATTGTTTAAAATACTTTATAAATTACTTAGGGGGATGTAATACTTTAGAAGTAGACATACGGGGGATGTTATATTTTAAAGTAAGATTTTCAGTTTCTTTTTCTGACATATACAGTGAATAAACCGAGGGGATGTGATATTCTTGATATCAAATACTAATCGTTTAAAATATTGTATGAATTACTTAGGGGGATGTAATATTTTAAAGGTAAACATAGAGGAAAAATGATATTTTAAGTAAGAATTTCAGTTTCTTTTTGTGGTACATACAGAATTTACAAGTGATAAATCTTATATTTTAAACACTAAATAAAAACCGTTTGAAATGTTGTATGATTTACTTAGGAGGATGTAATATTTTAAAGATAAACATAGGGGGGATGTGATATTTTAAGTAAGAATTAAAGTTTCTTTTTGTGACATATACAGTGAATAAACCAAGGATATGTGATATTCTAGATATCAATTACTAATTGTTTGAAATATTGTATGAATTACTTAGGGGGATGTAATATTTTAAAGGTAAACATAGAGGGGATGTAATATTTTCAGTAAGAATTTCAGTTTCTTTTTGTGACATTTAAAGCGAATAAACCGAGGGGATGTAATATTTTAGATACTAAATACTAATGGTTTGAAATATTGTATGAATTACTTAAGGGGATGTAATATTTTAAAGGTAAACATAGATGGGATATGATATTTTAAGAAAGAATTTAAGTTTCTTTTTGTGGTACATACAGAACTTACTAGTGATGGATGTGATATTCTAGGTACCGAATACCAATCGTTTGAATTATTGTATGAGTTATTTAGGGGGATGTAATCTTTAAAAAGAATACTTTAGGGGGGATGTGATATTTTAAGTAAGAATTTCAGTTTCTTTTTGTGACATATACATAGAATCTACAGGGGGATGTGATATTCTAGGTATCAAATACAAATCAATTGAAATATTGTATGAATTACTTAGGGGAATGTAATATTTTAAAAGTATACATAGGGGGATGTGATATTTTAAGTAAGAATTTCAGTTTCTTTTTGTGGTACATACAGAATTTACAAGTGATAAATCTTATATTTCAAACACTAAATAAAAACCGTTTGAAATGTTGTATGAATTACTTAGGGGGATGTAATATTTTAAAGATAAACATAGGGGGGATGTGATATTTTAAGTAAGAATTAAAGTTTCTTTTTGTGACATATACAGTGAATAAACCAAGGATATGTGATATTCTAAATATCAATTACTAATTGTTTGAAATATTGTATGAATTACTTAGGCGGATGTAATATTTTAAAGGTAAACATAGAGGGGATGTAATATTTTCAGTAAGATTTTCAGTTTCTTTTTGTGACATTTAAAGCGAATAAACCGAGGGGATGTAATATTTTAGATACTAAACACTAATCGTTTGAAATATTGTATGAATTACTTAAGGTGATGTAATATTTTAAAGGTAAACATAGACGGGATATGATATTTTAAGTTAGAATTTAAGTTTTTTTTGTGGTACATACAGAACTTACTAGTGATGGATGTGATATTCTAGATACCAAATGCCAATCATTTGAAATATTGTATGAATTATTTAGGGGGATGTATAATTTTAGAAGTATACATTAGGAGGGGATGTGCTATTTTAAGTAAGAATTTTAGTTTTTTTTTTGTGGTACATACAGAATTTACAAGTGATGAATCTTATATTTTAAACACTCAATAAAAACCGTTTGAAATGTTGTATGAATTACTAAGGGGTTGTAATATTTTAGAGATAAACATAGGGGGGATGTGATATTTTAAATAGCAAATATTAATCGTTTGAAATATTGTATGAATTACTTTGGGGGATGTAATATTTTAAAGGTAAACTTAGAGGGGATGTAATATTTTCAGTAAGAATTTCAGTTTCTATTTGTGAAATATGCAGCAAATAAACCGAGGGGATGTAATATTTTAGATACTAAACACTAATCGTTTGAAATATTGTCTGAATTACTTAAGGGGATGTAATATTTTAAAGGTAAACATAGACGGGATATGATATTTTAAGTTAGAATTTAAGTTTTTTTTGTGGTACATACAGAACTTACTAGTGATGGATGTGATATTCTAGGTACCAAATACCAATCATTTGAAATATTGTATGAATTATTTAGGGGGATGTATAATTTTAGAAGTATACATTAGGAGGGGATGTGCTATTTTAAGTAAGAATTTTAGTTTTTTTTTGTGACATATACATAGAATCTACAGGGGGATATGATATTCTAGGTATCAAATACTAATCAATTGATATATTGTATGAATTACTTGGGGAATGTAATATTTTAAAAGTATACATAGTGGGGATGTGATATTTTAAGTTCGAATTTCAGTTTTTTTTTTGTGGTACATACAGAACTTACAAGTGATGGATGTGATATTCTAGGTACCAATTAGCAATCGTTTGAAATATTGTATGAATTACTTAGGGGGATGTAATATTTTCGAAGTATACATAGGGGGGATGTGATTATTTAAGTAAAAACTTCAGTTTCTTTTTGTGACTTATACAGTGAATAAACCGAAGAGATGTGATATTCTAGATACCAATTACTAATCGTTTGAAATATTGTATGAATTATATAGGGGGATAGAATATTTTAAAGGTAAACATAGAGGGGATGCGATATTTTAAACAGCAAATATTAATTGTTTGAAATATTGTATGAATTACTTAGGGGGATGTAATATTTTATAGGTTAACTTAAAGGGGATGTAATATTTTCAGTAAGAATTTTTAGTTTCTTTTTGCGGTAAATACAGAACTTACAAGTGATGAATGTAATATTGTAGGTACCAAATACTAATTGTTTAAAATATTTTGTAACTTACTTAGGGGAATTTAATATTTTAAAGGTAAACATAGAGGGGATGCGATGTTTTAAGTAAGAATTCTAGTTTCTTTTAGTGACATATGCAGAGACTCCACAGGGGAGATATGATATTTTAAGTATTAAATATAAATTGCTTGAAATATTGTAGAAAAATGCTTAGGGGGATCTATTATTTTAAAAGTATATTTAGGGGGGGGGGGGTTGTGATATTTTAAGTAAGTATTTCAGTTTCTTTTTATAGTACAAACATAATTTACAAGTGATGGATGTGATATTCAAGATAGCAATTACTACTCATTTGAAAAATTTTATGAATTACTTAGGGGATGTAATATTTTAAAGATATACATAGGGATGTAATATTGGGGAATAATTAAGAAGCCTGCATAGGCAGATTTGGTATTTTAATTTAGAATTTTAGCTGTTATTTGCAAAATGTGCAGAGATTACCCAATCTTTTTTTGTTTTTTTTTTAGATTTAATTGAGCTAACAAATTAAAAATGTATTATTGTTCAATTAATTCATATGTATGGCTTCCGACGAGTTAAAGTATTATAGTAATTCAAGAAGTCACTAGAACTAAGGAAAAAAATTTCACCTTTTTTATCTGTAAGGGCATAAACATTTAAATTGGTTCAATTTTTGACAAAATTTTGAAGAAAAAGAAATGACTGCAATTTTCAAAGTTTCATTTATTATTTAATATATATATTTAATAAATTTTTACATAAATATGTTCACAACAAAATAATGTTTCATTTCTAAAAACAATGCATCTCATACGGTACCATCGATTTAAATGCATATATCACATTTTACCTAAAAATAAATATTTAATGAACATTTTTCTATTTGAATACTTAAAGTATTTTTTTCTATTTGAAATTTTTATTAAAAATTAATTAAAATATATTTTATTACTCATTTAATTTTTTTTTGATTTTTTCTAGTTTTTGGACCAATTTCACTTCCACAAATGCGACACAAACTATTCTGCTAACTCTTCTGACCTATTGATTTAATTTTTCATCATTTTTTTTTTGTCTTTTTTATAGATATCATTTAACATTGAAGTAGTATAAACATTTTCAGTCCTCTAAAGAATCTCACAAACCTCCTTTATCTCTCTTTCTGTATGCATTAACTTCTTCATGTGGAAAGACACGCACCAATACTTCTCCATTTGTATAACTTTCAGCAAACTAAATTATGTAAGCTTATATATATATATATATATATATATATATATATATATATATATATATATATATATATATATATATATATATATATATATATATATGGGGGATGTGATGTTTTAAGTAATATATATATATATATATATCCATTACAGTTAAGACTCTTAAAGTTATCTTAAGGCAGAATACTCCAAATGTTATACCTTCAGCTCGTATGGCATGTGGTAATGTTAATATTTCAAACTTTTCTGAAACACCATATCTTTGTTGTAAGTAACAACTATTCTATAATAGTAAAAAAACTATAAAAGATGTAAATATAAATTTTGACATAGGAATATCTAATAATAATAGTATCATACTTCCATTTCACTTCTTCTTTTTTGATGGAATTTGTCTGTTCTCCCATAGGGTCCATAGAGTGAATTGTTTTATTACCTGGTTCGATTATCTAAAACACAAGTGATTTTCAAAATCAGGTTCAAAGTTAGGTTCCCTGTAAAAAAATAGGTAATCTAACCTTTCACTAAAAGTTAAACTTTTTTTACTTAGAGAAATAAACTTTTTCAAAAAACAATTATACAATTTTACATACTGCAAGCGTCCAATGAAATTTTTCCACCATGTGTGTGTGTGTGTTTTTCCATCGTGTGTGTGTGTGTGTGTGTGTGTTTGTGTGTGTGTGTGTGTGTGTGTGTGTATAAATACTCTATAATTAAATTAATGAATCATTAATTTTTTTAGATAAAAGTTTTTGAATACCTTATGCCGTCTTCGTATTAAATCAGTTTTAATTGGCAATTCATCCAGTGAGAGTAGCCCAGCTGGCTACAGTACTTCGATTCGATTCTTCAAAGCATCAATAAATGGAATGGCATTCAATATATTGTTTTATATTTAGAATTTAAATTTTAGTTAAATAAAGGCAAATTTAAAAAAAAAATGCAAGAAGGGTTTTTTTGTACAAAAATGTTATTATGAAGTACATTAATTAATCATACTTTTATTTTACTGTTTACTAATATTTTGAGATAAATATTAACAAATTCGTCACTGAGACATTCGTTTAAAGTGTCTTGTAACGAATAATCATATACCTTGCAGCCTCCTAAGACTTTTACAAGGTTTTTAATATGGATACATTTTATTATTCCGTGATCTATTTATGAAATGCAATTTAAGCATAATTTTATCAAAATTTAAGCTTAAGTCTTTTATCTAATAAAATAACGACTATTACATTTATTGAAGATTACATGTTTTAAAGCTCTTCACATATTTTTTCACCAGGTGGGATGTTTAAATTAAATATTTAAATAAGTTTACATAAAAATCTTTATTTCATTCGTGCGCCACTGAATAATACATACCTTCTGTATCATCAACTATGTAGCTTTTTTTTGTATTTACTATCTCTAGAATATTAAAATAAATAAAAACAAATTAAAATAAAACGCTAACAATTATATATGAATAGGTAAGTTTTAATACTTACCTTCACTATCTTAATCTACAATGGTTTTTATTGGCTTCTCTGCCTTCTCTAAAAATAAGCGATATTTTAAAATAAAATGGTAACATTTATAAATGAAAAAGTATCTTTTTAAATCCTACTTTTACCATCTTTTACTACAAAACTATTTTTTGTATCTGCCACTTCTAAAAAAACAATACATTACAATAAAAAGGTAACGCTAACAAAATGTAAAAGTGATTTATTATTATATACCTTCACTGTCTTTAGCTGCAAAGATTTTTATAGTTATCTGCCTCCTCTAGAAAATAAATTATAAATAAAATAAAACGCTAACAATTACAAATGAATAAGTGAGTTTTTAATTCATACCTTCACCTTCATTAACTTCAAAGCTTTTTGTTGGTGTCTCTGCCTTCTCTTGAAAATAAACCATAAAATAAAATAATGATAAAATATATGGTTTAACTATAAATTAAAATAAGAAAACGAATATTTTACCCGAGTATAAATCAAAAAACAATTAAAATTGTTTTCATATTAGTATTACACGTAGAAAGTTAAACAAATATTAGGTTTGAAAAAAAAATAAAATATTTTATAAATAAAATGAAAACTTTATTGTAGTAACAGATATACCAGTAACTTCTACAGAGTAACAATATTTAAAAAAAACATTTCTCTTCTCAGCGTTTTTTAAAGACGTTTAAAGACCTGTATTATGCGTAATAAAATTTAGACGCCTTTGAATAGCTAAGGGTTTCTGAGACAAGTGTCTGACAAAGATGTCTTTTAAATTAAAATAAGGAAACATAAACTCTCAACCTCAACTAATATGTTTAAAAATATAACGTAACTTCACTTTGTTTTAGCTCATTCTTTTTCTAGCGCTTATCTCTATTTAAACCTTTTAATTTTCTAAACTGATAAAAACGAGCTTCTTGATTCAAAAAAAGTTATGCCAAATATTGTGCGGCCGTGGCGCAGTGGTTAGATTGTATGCTTTATAAGCAGGAGATCCAGGTTCAAAACGAGCTTTGGACATATTTCGCGTCATGGTAAGGAAGAAGGAGTGAACTTCCTGGTTAAATGCACTTCCGCGGTGCTCTGTGACAAGACGGTTAGGACTTCTTGGGGTACCTAAATAACAAATTTAAAAAAATATATATATATATTATAAATAAGGACAATCTCTGTGCAGGTTTTTTTGTTATATTTATTATGGCTACACGTTGGTACTGGACTCGTTGAATAAAAATTTAATCAATCTTTATTATAACAATTAATATAGTCAATTTTGTTACCTAATTCAATCATTTAAACTAAGCCACCACGCTCTCGTCTTTTTTTCAAACTTGTTGAATTCAACGCTATAAATCTGTCATTATAGGGATGATTATTATTTGTTAGTGAAATCTTCTTCGAACAATCATGCACTTTAGCATTTATGCAAAAGTGCATAATTGTTCGAAGCAGAATTTTTTTTTTCAAAATTTTCATTTTTACAAAAATGTTGTGTTAACATTTTATGGAATATATATATATATATATATATATATATATATATATATATATATATATATATATATATATATATATGTATGTATATATATATATACAACATTTATATATACTGTTTATGTACTTTGTCTTTTCCATCTTTTACAGTACATTATTCTTTATCATTTTAGTTCAGTATGATATTGGATGATTCTAATACATGAAGTACATGATTTTATATTTTATTGTAATAACAATAAGTTAATTTTTTAACTGCCACTTTTAAAAATTTGTATAATTTTAATAATTGTGAACTGGACTAAATATTATTAACTCGCCTCAACAGGCTCAATAATCACATTATATTTCCATACCAAACCACCCAAAGAAACGTTAATATTTAAAAATAGCTCTTTAAAAATGTTCTTTTATCAAGAAAATAAGCTTCTATTATTCAAAAAAAGTATCTGAAGAAGTTATAACCTTCCCGAAACCTTACGCCTCAGCAACCATAGGTGGGCGTAATGAAGAAAAATTTTAAATTATGGAATAGAATGAAAAAAGACAAACCGTAATATATATTTATTTTCCTTCAAAACGTTTTGTACATTAAAACTAGTAAAATATTTATGTTGTAAGATATGAAAACATTTAGAATAAAAAATTATTGTAATTAATTTCGTTCATTTTAAATCTTATGAAAACTTTAGTTCCACCAAAGTTTTATATATGACTTCGTTGAAAAATGTCGCATGTTTAAATTGTTAGCTCAATCGTATCTAAAAAAAAAAAAAATATATTAAATTAAAACTTTAAAAATCTAAAAAACACTATAAATATTAAAGTTTCTTGATTTTATTAAAAGCTCTTTAATTTTTTTATTTATATTCTAATTAAATATAAAAATTTATTATAAAGATCTCCCCATCAGAGGAGGGCCCAAGAAACAAAAAACAGCTAACAATATTTGAGATACATATCTTACTTGAATTACACATCCACCCTATGCAGGGGTCTAAAATATTATATCCCTCGAAGTAATTCTTAACAATATTTCAAACGATTAGTATTTTGTGTTTTAAATATCAGATTCCTCACTTGTAAATTCTGTATGTATCACATAAAGAAACTGAAACTTTTAAATAAAATATCACATCCCCCCCCCCTTTATGTATATTTTAAAAATAAGTAATTCTTTACAATACTTCATTAGGTATCAAAAACTAATCAACGATTAGTATTTGATACCTAGAATATCACATTCTCCCTATTTATTCTCTATATATGTAAAAAAAAGAAACTGAAACTCTTACTTAAATTACACATCCACCATATTCAGGCGTCTAAAATATTACATCCCCCAAAGTAATTCATAAAATACTCAAACAATTAGTATTTGGTAACTAGACTATAACAACCATCACTTGTAACTTCTGTATAAATAACATAAAAAAAACTGAAACTCTTTCTTAAAAAATCACATCCTCACTACGTATACTTCTAAAATATTACATCTCCCAAAGTACTTTATAATATTACAATATTTCATTTGTGAGTTCTGTATGTACCACAAAAAGAAACTTAAATTCTTATAAAATCACATCCCCTCCATGTTTATCTTTAAAATATGACATCCCCCTAAGGATTTCATACAATATTTCAAACTATTAGTATTTGGTATCTAGAATATCACTTATCCTCGGTTTATTCTCTGTATATGTCACAAAAAGATAAAATATTTTAAACAATTAGTATTTGGTACCTAGGATTAGTATTTGGTACCTACATCCATCACATGTAAGTTCTGTATGTATCACATAAAGAAACTAAAATTCTTTCTTAAAATATCACATCCCCCTTATGCATGCTTCTAAAATATTACATCCTCCTAAGTATTTCTTTTCAATATTTTAAACAATTAGTATTTGGTGTTCAAAATATCACATTTCCCCTGTGGAGACTCTGTATAAGTCACAAAAAAAAACTGAAGTTATTATTTAGAATATCACATCTCCTCTATGTTTACCTTTAAAACATTAAATCCCGTAAGTAAGTTACAAAATATTTTAAACAATTAGTATTTAGTACCTAGAACATCACATCAATCACTTGTAAGTTCTGTATGTACCACAAAAAGAAACTTTAATTCCTACATAAAATATTACATTCCTTCTATGTTTACCTTTAAAATATGACATCTCCCTAATAATAATAACAATATTTAAAACAAATAATATTTGGTATTTAAAATATCACATTCCCGCTATGTTTACTTTTAAAATACTACATCCCCCTAAGTAATTCATACAATATTTCAAACGACTAGTATTTGATATATAGAATATCACATCCCCTTGAATTATTCACTGTATATGTCACAAAAAGAAACTGAAATTCTTAGTTAAAATATCACATACCCCTTATGTATACTTTTAAAATATTACATCCCCCAAAGTAAATCTTTACAATATTTCAATTTATTAGTATTTAATACCTAGAATATCACACCCCCCTGTTTATTCTCTGTATATGTCACAAAAAAAATTGAAATTCTTACTTGAAATATCACATCCCCCTAATGTATACTTCTAAAATATTACATCCCCCTAAATAATTCATACAATATTTCAAACAATTGGTATTTGGTACCTAGAATATCGCATCCATCACTTGTAAGTTCTGTATGTACCACAAATAGAAACTGAAGTTCTTACTTAAAATATCACATCCCCCCTATGTATACTTCTAAAATATCACACCACCCCGCCCTAGTAATTTATACAATATTTCAAACGATTGCTATTTGGCACTTAGAATATCACATCCATCACTTGTAAGTTTTGTATGTACCACAAAAAGAAACTGAAATTTTTAATTAAAATATCACATCCCCCCTATGTATACTTTTCAAATATTACATTCCCCTAAGTAATTCATACAATATTTCAATTGATTAGTATTTGATACCTAGAAAATCATATCCCCCTGTAGATTCTATGTCACAGAAAAAAACTGAAATTCTAACCCTAAAGTATTCTTCTAAAAGATTACATCCCCCTAAATAACTCATACAATAATTCAAACGATTGGTATTCGGTACCTAGAATATCACATCCATCACTAGTAAGTTCTGTATGTACCACAAAAAGAAACTTAAATTCTTTCTTAAAATATCATATCCAATCTATGTTTACCTTTAAAATATTACATCCCCCTAAGTAATTCATACAATATTTCAAACAATTAGTAATTGATATCTAGAATATCACATATCCTTGGTTTATTCACTGTATATGTCACAAAAAGAAACTTTAATTCTTACTTAAAATATCACATCCCCCCTATGTTTATCTTTAAAATATTACATCCCCCTAAGTAATTCATACAACATTTCAAACGGTTTTTATTTAGTGTTTAAAATATAAGATTTATCACTTGTAAATTCTGTATGTACCACAAAAAGAAACTGAAATTCTTACTTAAAATATCACTTTTCCTCTATGTTTACCTTTAAAATATTACATCCCCTAAGTAATTCATACAATATTTTAAACGATTAGTATTTGATATCAAGAATATCACATCCCCTCGGTTTATTCACTGTATATGTCAGAAAAAGAAACTGAAAATCTTACTTTAAAATATAACATCCCCCGTATGTCTACTTCTAAAGTATTACATCCCCCTAAGTAATTTATAAAGTATTTTAAACAATTAGTATTTGGTATATAGAATATAACATCCACCACTTGTTATTTCTGTATATGTGACAAAAAGAAACTGGAACTCTTACTTAAAATATCACATTCCCCCTATGCAGGCTTCTAAAATATTGCAAACGATTGTTATTTTTATTACCTAAAGTATTATATCCCTCATGTGTAATCTTTTTTTATACTATTGTCACACAATACATTACGATTAAAATTTTATAAATAAGAATTTAAAATATATTACCATTTTATGCTAACTTCATTTATAGTATATTAGTAGAAAAACGTTTTTGTGAATCTCGTTGCGTTTTAATTATATTTTTTATAATTGAATGTTTCGGACGTATTTGATACACTTCTAAGTGCAATGACTTGAAAGCGCAATCTCGTTTTCGTTTTTTCTATGGGGGATGTGATATTTTAGGCGGATGTAATATTTTATTACAAACTACGATACCTGACAATTAATGAAGAAAAAAAACGGCGACAAAACCTAGTTTTTTTTTTGTTTACAATTAGAGATCGCCGGTTACAGTATACGGTATACTAACTTTACGGTATACTTTACCGTATAGTTGGTATACTAAAAATTACTATACCAATTAGTATACCTGTTATTTATGAAATATTTTTTAAATGATTTTATAATTCAATAATGATATTATCTTATTTGATTTAATAATTGTATTATATGTATTACGCGATTACTTTTTTAGATAAACAATACAATAATTATTAATAATAAATATAGTATTATTTATAGTAGAATTAAAAGAATTATCATTTATTAAACTTTAATAAATGATAATTCTTTTAATAAATTCAAAAACCTTTCGAAAGTTAAATTAGAAAAAAACAACACTTTAATTTAAAGTGTTGTTTAATTTAAAATTTATTTAAATTTTAATTGTTTTTTGTTCTTTTTTATTTGTTTATTGTATGTATAAAAGTAACATGTTTACTCTTACCTTGAAGTAAAATATTTAATGTCAACAAATTTACCAACATATCTCTTTTTTTGGAAAAGGTTCAACAAGAAAAATTTATTGCAAATATTGTGATAAACAAATTACAGCAAAATCAACATTAAGATGGGAGCAGCATTTGAGAGGATGTAGAAAAACGTCTGATGAGGTTAAGTTGTGCTTTAAAAAAATAAAAAAAGAAGTTCAGAGTGTTATAGTTGAAACAAAAGGATATGGTAATATGGCTTCACAAACCTCTGAAAATTTAGTTTTCAAAGAATCTGGGCAGCCTGCTAAAAGAACTATGCTAAGTTCATACTTTGACACTATAAGCAAAGATGACATTGATAAGATAGATAAATCATATGCAAGGACATTTTTCCATACAGGAGTACCTTTTGCATTAGCTGATTCTTCTGCATGGAAGCAACATCATGCTAATCTTAGACCTGCATATAAACCTCCATCTAGTAAATGTATAAGTGGGCGTCTTTATAAAGATGCATTAAATGATGAAAAACATGCAATAAAAAAATATGTTGAAAGTTCTGAATACGTTAGTATAGTGACTGATGGATTTTCAAACATTAATGTGAATCATCTTGTTAGTTATTCAATTCATGTTGAAAATAGGACTATGAAACCTATTGCTTACAAAATTGAGCCTACTGGTCAAGAACAGCAAACTGGCATTAATATTGCAAAACGCATAGAAAATGTAATTCTTGAAATAGGTGTTGATAAAGTTACAAGCATTGTTACTGATAACGCATCAAACATGAGAGCTGCATGGGATATTATTGAAAAAAAATATCCAAAAATATTTTGTAATGGTTGTGCTGCCCATACAATAAATCTTTTAGTAAAAGATATTTGCCTTCTTCCTGAGTTTGTGGATATTTTACAAAAGTCTGGAAAACTGACAGCCTTTTTTAAACAAAGAACATCACTTATCGATCAATTTCGTATAATTCAAAATCGTGTTAAACAAGAAAATAATTTGAAGAAAATGCGAGCATTATCACTTGTAGTTTTAACACGGTGGTATAGCCATCATACATCTGTTGCCCGTAATCTTGAAAACAAACTAGTTCATTTGAATTTAATTAACTCTGGTGCCTTCTCACGTGTATCTATATCAAAAAAAAAATCAGATTATGTAAACATTGTACAAGACAATTTTTTTTGGGAAGAATGTCAACGTTTTATTAATGTTATGAAACCATTATCAAAATTAGTAGGTAAACTGGAATCCGATAGTTTTCTACTTTCTGAAGTTTATATAGGGTTTGTTAACTTAATGGAAATATGGAAGGAAGACACAGTATTGAAAACTCTTGTTTTAAGCAGATGGGAATTTATTCACACGCCATCTATGGGATTTGCATACTTTCTTGATCCACGAAATCATGGTGGCAGAAATATGTATACTGAGTCTCCTCTATCTAGCAAAAGTGATCTTGTTATAGTACTTGAGTTGCTTCCAAAGTACATAGTTGAAACAAGAGGACTTTGCAATTATGAAATTTCAAAAAAAGAAATAAAATCATTTCAGAGGCTATGTGCAAATCCGACTCCAGATTTTGCAACTCAGATTAAATTAATGGATCCTGATATCTGGTGGGGAGTTGAGGGTGCAAGTAAATTTCCAAATTTAGCAAAGGTTGCACAAATAGTCTTTACTATTCCAACTTCTCAAGCTGCAAGTGAGCAAATATGGAGTTTGTATGATTTTATTTATTCAAAGCGAAGAAACCGACTTGCAAAAGATAAAGCAATTGGATTGGTTCTTATGTATGCAAATGCAACACTCCACGAAAAAGAAGCAAATATTGCTGATATAATGCTTGGCAATACTAGTGATCACGATGAGAGTGATGAGAGTGATGAGGATGGTGTTAATGTTGTTTTCACTTTAGAGACTTCAGTTGATACAAGTGATTTATTGTCACAGTTGGTTAATTAAATGCTTTATTTAATTACTAAGAAGTTTTAAAAATCTTTATATTACATCGACAAATCTTTAGATCATCGAAAAATATTAGTCAAATTTTGTTTAAATGAAAATAAAAATGTTTTTGTTTACTTTAGTATTTATTTATTCTTCCACCTGATTATGTTTATTTTGCTGTCTCAAAGGCATTCTGAAAAAGTAGAGAGCAGACAAAGTCCAGATGGCCAACAAATCTATAACAAGGTTAGGGCCCCAGAGTGCAAAAACTGCAAAAAATTGAACAAGGGAGGAGTTTTGTGTCATGTGATAAGTTTCTGCTGTTTCTATTCTTCTAAAATTATTTGAAAACACCAGAACTTATTTTTAAATGCTTGTTCTAGTAAGTGGTGGATTTTGATCAACGCTTTTTATTTAATTACTTAAGTTATTAGTTTTAAAAATCTTTAAATATATTTTTGTTCTTACTTTAAATCAGTTAAATATCAAATCCAATAAAAACATTCAACCTAATGCTAATTTGAATATTTAGCTGAGGACGGGGTTGGGAAAGTAAAAAAAGTTGTCTGGTCCCCTTGCGACTGAACAAATAACATTTTTTAACTTCTCTTCTAGTTTCGCTAACAAATTTATTAAGTAAAAAAAGTTGTTTATTGCAATGACGTCATTGCTATACTTAACAGTGTACTTTACGGTATAATATACAGTAAACGGTATACTAAAATTTTAGTATACCGTAAACTAGCGATCCCTAGTAATAAGTTATTACATACAAATAAGAGTTGTATAATAAAACTATATTATAAACTATAAGGATTTTATTCTTTTAAAGTAATCTAAACATATGTACTTTGACTAAACGTTAACTGAATCAAATTGCTTTGAAGTGTTATTATTAGGTTTTTAAATAAATCGCATTGTGAGGCACGTTTTCTTTTCAAAAAGCGCTTGTCAAAATTAATTTTATTTTCTTTCAATTAAAAAAAAATCACTTTTTTAAATCTTTTAAATTTTGAATCACATGAATATGCACGTGAATCATTAACAATACCTCACCCTTTGTTTGTCGTAGTTAAAATAAATTTAATATTTTTATTTAAACTTTATCTAACGAACGATTAAACTTTTTTATAGGGTTTTTTAGAGGGATTCTTTTTTTTTTTTTTTTTTATAATTTTAAAACGTATAGATTTTTTTATAAAAGAAGAAGTCGTTATATTGTAAATTAAGTTTAAAACATTTTAAGCACTGAGTGGAAGAATTGATTGTAGAAAATTAACTGATTACAGAAAAACAATTCAATATCTTTTTACTTTTTATTAATTTATTTCCTTTTTTTAAACATATTTATTACTAAAGATTTCTTATTATTTGTATATAAGAAGTCTGGTGTTTAATTATTATTATTTCCTTGCGATTGAAGTATGCTCCGAAAATAGTTAATATAAAATTCATTTATATTTTCCAAAAAATGGTGGTTAACAGGTAATAAAATGTTTACTGAAAGAAGTTGGCAAGCAAAAGTGTCGGATAAATGTGGGTTTAGGGACTGCCTTAAAAGCCGAATTCTTAAGCGCCGAAAAGCCGAAATGCCGAAAAAAATGGCGTATTAGTAGACCTGCGGTAACCGTAAAAAAAGACAACAAAAAGTTAACCATCCCCCGGATTTTTTATTGGGTATTTGCGAATGCGAAAGTTTAAAGGGACAGAAGAAAAAGCCAAACTTGGCTTTTGCTTCTGTCCTTTTAAACTTTTACGAATAATAACGGAAAAAGAGACGAAATAAAAATTAATGTTTATAAAATTATTTTTAAATTTGTTTGCTAATTTTACATTTAGTTGTAGTCAATGATATTTACATATCATTAGTAGTAGTATAGAGAGAATTTGCGTAAAAATTGTTAACTAATTAAATTTAGAAAATTTTAATTGGAATTATTGATAACGACCTCGGTGAACCATCAAGCAAGCGAATTTTCAGATAAATAATTACAAGAAAGCTGTGTTAAGAAAAAAACCTTATGAGTTTGAGGCTCACATAGAATATTATCGTTACACGATAATATTTTATGTGGGCCTCAAACTCATGTGAAAATGAATCCTTGCACACTGAGCAATAGGGTGCAGTGAATTTTTTTTTTTTTTTTAGTTCATTTTGTCTGGGTGTGCAAAAGTTTTCTATTTATGTCAGAAATACTCTGTAAAAATTGCGATGCTCTAAGAAATTGTTAGTTGCCCCAAACACTTTGAAATTCACCAAAATCATCAAAAAGTGACTTACGGAAAAAAATTTAGATTTTTTTTTTTTATATATTTATTTTGCCTGGGTGTGCAAAAGTTGTCTATTCATATCAGAAATACTCTGTAAAAATTTCAATGCTCTATGAAATTATCTTGAGTTGCCCCAAGGTAATTGAAATTCCCCAAAATCCCCAAAATGTGACCTACCGACTACGGAGTGCGGATCTCGGACTACCGAGACAGACTTCGACTTTTTTTTAAATTTGTGTGTGACTGGGTGATATAATAATATTATTTAGTGCTATATAATAAGCTGCTATAATGCTGCCATTTGGCGAGTGAATGTGCATGTATTATTATGTAAAATACAAACGGCGTCAAACAAAAAACACAGAATCTAGCAGATAATTATTAAAATTATCATATATTTTTGTATGGTTAGATCATGGGACAAAAGATTGTTCGAATGAAGAAACCACTCACTCGCAATGATAACATATGCCCAGTATTTGGCATCATTTCACGAATGAGCATAAATGTTTTCCAACGTATGCAGATATCATGAAACATTTTATATCAGTAAGAAAAGAGTTGTCTGATGGCCATGCCAAAGAAGCTACAATTAATGAAACAACCAGGAAGATATCTGTTGATCTTGAAACAATATGACACAGAGCATCAATTCCAGTAATATCCCGCAGCAAATAATAGCTAAAATAAGAGATTACAATGACAAATATCGCTCACTTATGAAACCGTTTAAACAGAGGTGCAAGGACAAGGAGTCACAGCACCTGAACAAAGTTGAAAACTTTAAAATTAATTCAAATCGAATTTTTGATATTGCTTCATGTAAATGTAAAGACTTTTCGACATGTGCTTGTGAAAAGAATCGTAAAGTTCCACCAAATGAAATAATATTTCTTGCAGGTCAATGAACAGAAAGGAAAATGGCTATTGGCAACGTTGATATTAAAACAACAAAGCTGCAGGAAAAGACACTGAAAAGAAAACTTGCAGATGAATTGAGATTTTATAAATGTGAATTAATGACAAATGCTGAAATTTTGAAACCGCATCCAGATTGTAGCTAGGAGGATGATTGTAATGATGTCACGTTGGGTGATTTAGATGAAGCTATCACCGAAAGAGATAGTAATGAAGATGTTGACTTCATGACAGACACGCCTAAGTCACCATCACCAACTAATAATACAACCTCACAAGAAATTTTGAACTCTCAAGTGCGAACTTCACTACCAACATTAGCTTGTGAATGTGATCGATGGGGAGTATCGGATCGCTCAGCTGCAGCATTAGCATCGGCTGTTTTGGTTGATTATGGCATTATTAATGCACATGACTCATCTGATGTTATTGACCCAAGTAAAAATCGTAGAGAAAGACAGAAAAACAGAAAAATTTTACAAGCTGGTGCTGCCAAAACATTGAAGGGTTATATTTCGATGGTCGAAAGGACAAAACTCAAAGCCAGATTATCAAACGAAACAGATATCATCCAGCTTTGGAGACCGAGGAGCACGTTGTGTTAATAAAGGACCCTGGTTCTAAATACCTGGAACATGTTAAAACATCACAAGGATCTTCTTAAAGTATAAAGATTAGCATTATATCATTTTTAAATGCAAATGCTATTGATACCAGTTCATTGGTGGCGATCGGATGTGATGGCAAGAATGTCAACTCAGATAATATTCGTGGTGTTATTCGACTTCTCGAGCTTCGTTTCAACAAATCTCTATACTGGTTTGTAAGTTTATTACATATGAATGAGTTACCATTGAAACATCTCCTGATTAACCTGGATGGATCTACATATATGCTAAATTCATTCAGTGGTCCAATCGGAAAAATATTGAAGAACATGGACTTGCCAATTGTCAGTTTTCAATCAATCGAAGGAAATGTGTTGTCCAGCATTGATGCAGATGATCTCAGTACAGATCAAAGGTACTTGCATGAAATGTGTCAAGCAATATCCAGTGGCCAATGTAGTTTTGAATTGGGTAATCGAAAACCGGGACTCATGTGTCATTCTCGATGGATAACAACTGCTAGTCGTATCCTCCGGTTATATGTATCTACAGAAAAGCCAGACAAAAACTTGATCATTCTTGTAACTTACATACAAAAGGTATATGCACCTATATGGTTTGAAGTGAAGTCTAAGCATTCCTGTACGGATAGCAGTCGTTATCTCTTTCAAATGATGCATTATACCAGATACTTGCCTATCAAGCTCAAGAAAATTGTTGATCCTGTAATCCAAAGAAATGCATACTTTGCTCACCCAGAAAACTTATTAATATCAATGGCAACGATGAAAGCCCCCTTAGCCCTACTACACGTCTTAGTGCTAATTGACATTCGTCAATTAGCACTAAGACGTGTATTGGCTGCAAGATCGATATCCGATAAGACCGATGCTAAACCTACAGTTAGATTGTTCAAGATACCTCCTCTAAACTTTGAAACAACAGATTATACAGACACAATCAACAGATCAATTGAATCGACTCAGCTTAAAAACAGCATTCTGACCTCAGAAATGCTACAATTTAAAAGCTTTCCATGCCACACTCAGTCTGTAGAAAGAGGCGTGAAGCTAGTCACTGAAGCCAGTATGATAGTCTGTGAACCTCAGCGTGATGGTTTTATTCGTGCAAGAAAAGAGTCGCGATCAGCTATGAAAGTTTTTAACACAAAATCTGATTTTAGCCTTTCAAAATGACGTTCTTGAAATGATTAACTGA